GGCCTGCGGAGGTCTCGGGAGGGGACTGGAGGATGGAAGAGGAAACACCTGGAGAAGATGTGCCTGTTCCCGCGGCAGGGCGGCGGGCAGTGTCGGCGGCTAACGGGGACAAGGGCACAGGCCAGGGACAGCCGGTCACCCCCCTTCACCCACAGCCCTTCCACAACCCCCAGATAAAAAGTACCAAGAACGCAGCAAGTAGTGGCACCCCCCCGGCAACTACAGGCCACGACAGCCACTCCTGGACTGGCCTTGGAGCTGGGGCAACGGGCTGTAGAACCCCAACAGGTGCGGACTGACCCCCGCTGAAAACACGATCCCAGCCCCGGCACAGGAACAGCCCCGAGCATGGCGCAGCAGCGGGGCAGGAACCGGGGTGTGGCACAAAGGGCTGGGAGAGCTTCAGGTACCTGGAGGTACACCCCTCCCGGTCTGGGGTATCAGGAAGCACAAGTACAGATGGGGGCGATCTTTTAGATGCTAAGGGGTTGGAAAACGTGTGCGGAGGTAAAAGCCCGTTCCCCCGTCCCCTCCTCTGTTTCCTAGAAATCACAGGGACACTGTAAGGTGGAGCTCACAACTGCTCTTGCTTGGCAGCTCCAGGGCCAGGAAAAGGAGCCCGCAGGGAGGCAACAGACATACAGGTGGCTGACAGAGGGAGCAATAAAGTGCAGACAGCCTCCCACAGTCGATGCCAGTAAGATCTCATGGTGACTGGAGGGCAGTAATAGAAGACAAACATTTTAACAACATCAAAGTCCATCCAAAACGTTCTTGATGGGACATAGTGCAAATAGACATATTGGTCATGCTCTATAAAAGAGAGGGGCTAACCTTTCAGGCTGCTTGGTGCAGGAGAAGAAAAATGTGAGGACAGTGGAGCTGAACTCGGTGCAAGTCTGTGTCCCAGGCACTGCGGGCAAGCTCCTTGTCTGCGGTGGAGGGAACAGGCCCCCTGTAGTGCTCTCCAGGAAATGACAAATTATCCCACCTATACAGTAACTAAAAAGACCACCAATCTCCACTCAAAACTACACAACCGCCCTAACTCAAATGCAGAAAAAATACTGGGAAATTTGCCCAAGTACCACTTTGGGATTCGGTGCACAAACAAATATCCAAGTGTATGCAGCGTACAGCACCCAGGGACTGGAGAGCCTGAGCCGGGCTGCCACAGGGCATGAGCAGGTCACCTCAGGAGAGGGATGGTATATTTGAACTTTCCCAGGCCTTCCTGCACTCTCTCTTCTTTGACCCCTGGAAGTCGCTGCAGATATTGGTCTGTGAGATAAACACCACCTTCAGGCAATTATGAACTCTGCAAGGGCGAAGTGGGAGCGTCAGCATTGCTGGATTTTGGCCCCTCATTTATCCTTCAGAGCACGTTGGTCCTCTTTGTAACAGCACGATCTGAGCAGGTCTTTGGCAACTCATGATCAGTGGAAGGCATGAGGATGGAAAAGGCGCACGGGAAGGGCAGAATCCTGCTGTGGATCTCTGTTACAATATTGTCACAACAGCACCTATGGGCTTCAGTGTGGAGTGAGAAAGGTTAAAGTTCATCCTTAGCATTAACAAGATGCTGCAGTGGACGAACTGGTATTGCCTGATCTCTCAGCAGCTGGTCCTGGGACCCTTCGTGGCTGACAGGGGGTCTGTCACCCGAGAAGTCTGTGTGAGTGTAATCCTCCAGCAGGCCAGCTTCTACTGCGTGGCGCCGGAGCCCCTCGCTCCCCACGAGCCCCTGCATTCTCACATACCCCTGCCGACAGAAGGGAGGCAGCTTTTGACGGGTGAAGGCAAACAGGAAACAGGACTCTGCAGGGGAAAGGATCAAAAATCAGACTCATCAGAGAACAACTACCGTAAAGTCTTGAGGACTCACTCAGAAAAAAAAGGCAGAGAAGATGGGGGAAGATGATGGGAGTTTCCCACCCAGCACCCTACCCTGGATGGCAGCAGAGTGATTGACTCAATACTGCAGAGCTCAGGAGATGTAGGGTGGCATCTCCAGTCGGCACTCTGCGAGGAAACGGAGCTGGATTTGAGCTTGCAGCCCTCTGGCACCTTCTTTGTACCACAGGATTGTTTCCCTCTGTGCAGCACGTGGGGTTCCTGCAGGAGGTTCCCTGACCAGTCTTCAGACCAGGAAGGGAGACCAGCTCTCACATCCCAGCACTCCCATTTCCCACAGGAAACCAATCCCATCATCAGTATGAGTACATTAAAAGAGATCTGGTACTTGATGGCACAAAGAAACGTTCAGATAATGGAGCAGGAAGGAAAGCTGCAGGTAGAGAACAGATTGAACTAAAGCTCGTACACTTTTCCCTAAACCTGGGTGTGCCCGGGGCAGTCTCCTTCTGGTGGTGAGCAAGAGCAAAGGCTATTTGGGAACATACACACAGCACTGTCCCTTTTTGCCATCTGGGGAGCGCATCAAAGAGGTGTGACTGATGGTGAGACCACCAGTGTGCCACACGGAGATCTCAGCTATTAGCAGAAAATCTTGCTCCTGTCACGTTCCCTCGCATCCCTCCTCCTTCTGCCACCTCGACCCTGTCCTCAAATTACCTGCAAAGAAGTTGCGCAGGTCAGTGCTGAGGCAGTTCTCCAAAAACCGCCTTAGTGGCAGGATGTGAGCATTTGGGGCCGTCCAGTCTGTCAGAAAGTCCTCCACAATGTGATGGACAGCATCTGGGCGGGGGAGAGGCCAGTCTGGGGGCTGAAGTCTCATCTCATGCTCTGCCAAGAGAACATTAAGGGAATCTCTCGGAATCAAAATGGCATTTAAAAGAGCTTGGGGAGCAGAAAGTAGCTATGACAGCTGTTCCAGCTTTTGCTCTGACCTTTTTAATCCCTACCTTACTTTCATTTGCAATCCTCTCTGCTAGCTCTGTCCTCAAGAGCCCTGCCACTGCACAGCTGCCCCTTGTCCCTGCCCCCAGTACTTCCTGTCATTTCACACCATTCCCCCAGGCAGGGACTGCCAGACGGGCTGAGCTGCGTTCAAGCTTTAACACTGCTACCCATCACACTTCTTTCTCTGCACGGCCGGCCAGGCCCTGACCCTAGGTTTCTGGAGATGAAGACTCAGCATGCTCATTTCCCAAGGAAATCTATTCTGAGTGTGTTTGTTTGCTGGATGTAACACTCATCTTCAAACCTGTGCCTTTGGCTGCCTCTGTCACTGTGTGACCTCTCAGACCTGGGCAGGCCGTAGAGACCCACTTTCTTTTGGCAAAAACACCGAACAGCCCAGCCTCACCTGCTGGGACTCTGCAAAATAACTGCAGGGAGCCAGCCAAAGGGAAGGAATGTTCCTCTTTTTGGGAATGGAGAAGTTCCAGCACACCTGTTTGTTCCTATTCTCAAATGTGAGGTCTCTGGTACAAGCCCCCACACCCCAAGTCAGTCTGACCGATGGAAACTTCTTGCCAACTTCCAGCTTTTTCTTCAGCTCCTACAGTGCTGGCAGGTGCCCCAGAGGATGGACATGAATAAAGTGGAGAAGAAGGGTGTGCAATGCCTTCAGGTACCCCCCCCCCCTTTGGATCGAAAGAAGGGTTGTCAACGCCTTAAGGTCCCCCCCCCCCCTTTGGATCTGAAGTATCTTCATCCCTCTCTGTTTTGTTCGTATCAGATAATTAGCAGAGAGGCAGGAAAGTGTTACCTGTTGGGAGGCGTTTGTAATAGTAAATAACAGGGTGCAAAAAGTTGGACTGCCAGGCATGCTGTGCCTCTCCCACGGCTCGGTTGTAGTAGAAGACATCCTTGTCAGCCCCAGAGAAATTCCTCCCATACTCCATGATAATGACAAACAGTCCGTTGGAAGCCTTTCTCCCTGTTTGCATTTCCAGCTCGGCCAGGACTCCAACTGGGTACTCCTCCAGGTATTCAAATGCTGTGGAATTCCTGTGAATTGCAACCACAACCGTCAGACTTTTCCACCAGAGAAAAGCCAGCTGGGATCCAAGACCCTCTCAGCTGAATGAGGCTAAGGCCAAAGAGCCATCAGATAGTAATTATTTTTGGTCATTAGAGATCTGGGCTGGACTTGATGCAAAGCTTATGAAGGCTGCAGATACTGTTACAAGACTCCATTATTTTCCCAGATGATGGGATTCCTCTCTACAATGAGCACTGCTCGAAGAAAGGCCTTCCCTGGGGACAGTAAAAGGGTACTACACCTCCAAGCCTAGAGGGAAGGTCTGAACTATTTCAGCCCCTTAAGAAATAGAATTGGCAGAATCGGGCATAGTGGTACCATGGCAGTAGTGGTACAGGTTCCGAGGTGGCTGCCTACCCAACAGTAACAACCTTAGGCAGCAACGGAGCAATTTTTAAGCAACAGTAAAGAAAAAGGAATGAAACGATGGAGTGCAGTGCTGGGAATAATTACTCACTCACTCTCTCAGCAGTATGATGTCAGCCAGGACACTGAACATCTGGTAGAGGCCCGAGGCCTCATTCACCCGCTTGATGATGGAATTGGTCAGCTGTGTAACAGGGTAGACGGTGGATGGCCAGGGGACACCATGGTGACGGTTTTCCAATAGGCGGTGGACTGCACGAGCTAAAGCATTGAGAGAAACAAAGACAGCTTATTTAAAAATCCAAGCTTACCCTTTTAAGAAATCCAATCGCCATGCTGTGGCACACACAGATACTGGCATGACACAATAAATGAACTTTACAGCTCATCTGTGCTCAGAATTTCCCACCCCAGTCGCTGCTAACTGCAGTGGAGGTGCCCTCTGAAAGCTGATGTGATGCTAAGTGGTTGGTGAGGAGGCAGGGGGGTCCTCAGGGATATTTCATTACTTCCAAGCAGTCATTTAGTGATAAGGATGGGCGCACACACACATAAAGACAGAAATTCTCTCTACTGCTCAAAACTGCTGGGTTTTAACTCCACAGCACAGACCTCTCACCCACAGCCTGTCACAAGGCAGAGCATCTGGCAGGCAGAAATCTATTGTGTTACATAAATAAGAGACAATGGGCAAGGGAGAAACAAGACAAAACAAAGACAGACAACCAAAAACTTCAGATATGACCCCAAGTCACTTCTCCTCCACTTCAGACGATGCAGCTGCAGCTTGGCTGTGTTTTGTCATTTTTACTGTCAGCACAAGACTCAGGGTGATCTCTTTCCAGCAGTAAACTATGAATTGTTCCTTTGAAGGGAGGAAAAATTCCCACCTCTGCCCTTTCTGTACACCCCAGTACTCACTTGTATACCGGAATCCATGGATGAAGCCCCCAGCAGACTTCCTGAAGTCGACAGAGTGGCTAGCAGTGCCAAGAACAAAAAGCCCCCGAGTGCCTCTGGACTCATAACTAGGTTTGATCTGAGGATACTTCTTTTTATTCCCTTTTCCTGGCATCATTCTAAGGGTTCTAATGTGCAAAAGAGAAGAGCAGGCTGTCAGGAGGGGCAGGGGTGGAAAAATAAAAGTGTTTCTGATAAGGCACACATTATATTGCACCCACTGCAAGATGCTGCTTCACACCGCCACTGCCTTCGGTGGAGTTTACTACTTTCCCAAGAGCATAAAATCAATGAGGATCTTCCAGAAGACATGGGTGCTCATCTGAAGGTGACTCTGGACAAGATAAAATTCCAGCCTGAGCCACTGACAGTGAATTTTGGAAGACACTGAAGTTAGCAGTATCATTTTCAACTGCAGGATGTACTAAGAGACAGACCAAGGTGGAGTGACAGTTGAATTCTCAGGGAGAAAAAAAGGCAGACAAAACCTTTCTGTAGTGATCTGTACCTGTACCATCCTCATTGCACAAAAAAAAACCCCAAAAAAATAAACCAAAACCAAACAACCCAAACACAAAACATTAATAGCCTTCTAATTTGATCTGGCAGGTCAGGATGTTAAGTTCTAAAGGCACAAGCTTTTCTGTGCCACCCAAGTCCTAACACAGCCATTTGCTCAGCCCTAGAACCTGTCAGAGTGCAGTGGCACACACATTCCCACTGGGACATGGACATAGCTGTGGGGTAAACAAAGGACTGTGCAGAACCAGGTAGCTCAGAGCACATGGAGGCCCAGGCAATGCTGCCAGGAGAGGACCTGCTCTTTCCTTTTCTCCCCAGGCCCTTCATAGTCTCTTGCTCTAAATAATTGCTTTGCTATAGATCCTGGTTCTTCCTCACCTGTTGTAGATAGAGAAGTCAAACTTCCAGCCCAGGCAGCGAATGACACGGTCATAAGGTGCACGGGTAGCAAAATTATCCAGTTCATCCTGGGGGAAGGTGATGGAGTCGATGCCTGCGCTGGTGTTCCTGTTCTCCAGGTAGAACCGGAGTGTGATGTGTAGCTTTCCTTTCTTGTCCTTGACGATAGCCAGATCCTCCAGGTCGCCCTCCAGAAGCCCATCCAGAGATTTCAGCTGGTAGGTGTCCAGTAGGCCATTGTTAATTGCTCTATGAAAAAGGGTAAATGTAAGAAGGGCTAAAAGAAGAGGGGAGAAGTTGGATCCACAGTTTTGCCTCAGCTGCTGAAAATGGGACACCTTTACGCTCCCCTTCAGAGCAAAGGTTATCCCCAGAACCTCGGGGCTCACAGGAACAGCACAAGTAACACAGCCTCGCTGTCCCTGCAGGATCTAGTCAACCTCTCAGCTCTCCTCTGTGACTGCAAGCAAGAGAACAATTTGGGAGCCAGCATTTTCTAATTATACACTTTTCAAGGGGACATTTTCCTATTTCACACAGACCGTGAAGAGCTCTCATCAAGCTCCTGTGTTCAGCAACTGCAACCTGGACCACTTTAAATCAAGGACCTAAAGATAGAAGTCTTCACGTTTCCTCTGCGACCCCCAGGACCACAGCACCTCCTGTGCCAGTCCAGCTTGTCACCTGGGCAAGAAATGGTTCTCCGTGTTTGTACTCCAGCTGTGTCAGAAAGAGGAAGAGGAACGGTTTCCTACCTTAGATCCCCAACGTAGTGGGTGGCCCATGAGAGGCGCACGCGGGACCGGCTCACCATGTGGATGAAATTTGTAACACCCAGAATGTTCTCCGCTGTCTCAAAGGCTGAGTTCCCTCGGCCCAAGATCAGCACGGTCTGGCCAGCAAAATCCTCTGGGTTGATGGACACAGTCTCGTAACCCTCAACGTATTCTGAGCCAGGAAAGTTGACCACGTTGGGGACCCACGTTCCTGTGGCGACCAACAAAGAGCTGCAAAAACAGGGATGGCACAAGGGAACATAGGAGTTACAGGAACAAGGCCATCGCTCCATCTCATCACTCCTCCCTTCTCCCAGTGTGAACAACGGCTGTGATGTGCCCCCTCCAGCCACACTGGATCAGCTGCACAGGTCATAGAGTTTTGCGAGAAACCTCTCCCCAGCTTCACCTAATGACCCATTTCGATATTCCCCGTCCTCAGGCAACAAAGACAACTAGGGACATTGTTATATATAGCAAAAGTCAACGTAGGTGCTGTGCGCATAAGCTCCACTTGTCTCCTAAGTCTTCCTCCATTGTTTGTGAATGTGCAAGTACTACTCAAATGTACTCACTGATGATACGTGCAATAGTAAAGCGTTTCACAGTTTGCTTTTATGCTGCATAAAAAATTACTTGGATATAAAATTTGTCTTGCCTTTTAATACAGCAGAACAGAACTATAAGAGGGATAGAAAATTGTTTCAATTTTAAAAAATGCAACTTCTAGGTATAAAAATACATTAGCAGCAACACTAATTCTTCACACTAAAATTAAATACAGTAATCTTTTCATGTCTCTCCGTTAAGAACTTTTACTTGAATCTTAGGGAAATTTTTGCAGCTTAGGAAGGAAACACCAGGCAGCTGAGGCTAGTGGCACTGTCTGCCATCCCAGCCTTGCTCACGCAGCTCCCAAGAGCAGCTCCCTCATGGTGCGTGGGTGTCCGGGTTTGCCTTCTGTCCCCTCCGAGCTTGCCAGCCAGCGCACCTCCAAGTGACAGCCAGCACGACCTGCTGTCATGGAGCTGAGGTTCTCAGGAGAGGTGAGAAACATACTCCATATGCTCACATGAGTAACTTTTAGATGGTTTCTAGGAATGTAGCTCAGTGGCGGTACAAGATACACACACATAAGTATGACAAGGGGAAGGGGAATTCAGGGACCAGCAGCCTTGAGGGTTATTTCTCACAGTCAGCTCCCTCTACTGCAACAGCTCCACTTTTCTCCAGTTCCCTCCTGCCAGCTCTGTACTAACCCGGGGCTTCAGTTGCCTGGGACACACTTTTAAGTCTTGGTTCTTCTAACTATGTCTGGGTTACCAGAGGTGAGGTGTCGCTGCACTGACTCACCCAAGTTTGTAATAAAGGTAGCAGTGGCTACAAGTACAACTGAGTTATTTTTTTTCACAGAGAGTAATTATCTAGTGATAAAACAAAAGTGATTTCAAGCTTACAGATCAAGCACAGAAACTGCAGTGATGGCAATTGCAGACAGTTTGTGTCTGCCTTGCCAGCTCCTCAGATGTCTAAGGCACAACACTGCTTGCAAAAGGCAATGCTTTCCCAAGAGCAGTTACTCCGCTCACCCACCCTGCATATCCCTGTAAAATGTTTTTCCCCATGATGGTGGTTAAGCCCTCACAATGGTGTTTAAGTCTCCGAGAGGCTGTGAAACCTCCCATGGAGGAGATACTCATGCCTCAACTAGGTAAGGCTCTGAGCAACCTGGTGTTGCTGGCCCTGCTTTGGACATGGGGCTTGGGCGAAATAACCTTCATAGGTCTCTTCCAACCCGATTTACTCTATGATTTTATGACTCTGAAGATGCCCATGGAAAATGGTGTGGCCAGCCCCTGGTTCGCCCATTACCTGCACTTGTAGTTCTGCCTGTCCTGGTTGGTCAGGAGGAAATAGTGGCCATTCCAAGCCTGCCCATCCCTTTCCAGCGTCACGTGGATGATGGCTGTGTTGTACTGAACCCGCAGCTTCAGCAGGGAAGCAAAGTCCTCCAGGTAACGCACCATCGTGTCAGCGTCGGGGAAGAAGTCACGGGAGTAGCGTCGGAAAAGCAGCCGTTGGTCGTGGCTGAGGAGCGAGTTCCAGTCGTGGCGGAGGTTGAACTCGCTGTTGGATTTGCCTGTGTACCGCTTGTTGATGCTGATGAGCTTGCGGTGGCGCGGGTACAGGGCGAAGAAGCTGCCAGGAGCGTGGCTCCGCTCGAAGACAACATAATCCCGGCCGGCTTGCTGGAGGAAATAGGCCGCCTGCAGGCCCGACGGGCCGGCCCCGATGACGCAGTAGTCGTGGTAACGGGAAGCG